CTGATGATTCACCAAGGCACTGTGTGGAAATGGATAGATGGAGAGTTTCAGTGCATATACATTTACACACAAACACATGTTTAGGATAGATATGGAGAGATAGACTGATGGACAGATAGAAAGATGGCACCCTCACAGCTCCCCTAAATTGTTACCAACACCACACTCTTAATTCCTTTTGACAAATAGAAGCAAGGTGCCTGAGCAACACGGCGCCGCTCTGATGGACAGGCCACCTCTTTAAATCATAGCACCATGCTCTCAAACTTGCAAGCCTGTATTTGATGTAGAGGCAGACTGCAGAGGGTGGAAAATGGAACAGAGCAGTCAGGACAAGGGGCGTGGTAAGGGGCGTTACACCTCAGCGAGATGGCATCGGTTGCTATGCAACTGGGCACCAAAGCTATTTATACACCAGCCCCCTTGTCCCCCTTCTTTCCCTCCCCAGGCTGCACCACGACTGATCAGAAGCCAGGCTGGAGGTGCAGCTTTGGGAGAAGAAAATGACTTTAGGGGATTATTGCAGCGTTTTGTGCCATTGCAATTTTGCAGCAGAAGAATAAAAATACATCTACAAATGCAAATAATGGTAGTGCTTTTGCGTAGGTAGTGTTGGGAAGTATATGTAGTATTTGGTAGTATATGTAGTTTTTGGGAGTATATGTAGTATTTGGTAGTATATGTAGTTTTTGGGAGTACATGTAGTATTTGGTAGTATATGTAGTATTTGGGAGTATATGTAGTATATGGGAGTATATGTAGTTTTTGGGAGTATATGTAGTATTTGGGAGTATATGGGAGTATATGTAGTTTTTGGGAGTACATGTAGTATTTGGTAGTATATGTAGTATTTGGGAGTATATGTAGTATATGGGAGTATATGTAGTTTTTGGGAGTATATGTAGTATTTGGTAGTATATGTAGTTTTTGGGAGTACATGTAGTATTTGGGAGTATATGTAGTTTTTGGGAGTACATGTAGTATTTGGAAGTATATGTAGTATTTGGGAGTACATGTAGTATTTGGGAGTATATGCAGTATTTGGGAGTATATGTATTTTTTCGGAGTACATGTAGTATTTGGAAGTATATGTAGTTTTTGGGAGTACATGTAGTATTTGGGAGTATATGTAGTTTTTGGGAGTACATGTAGTATTTGGGAGTATATGTAGTATTTGGGAGTACATGTAGTATTTGGGAGTATATGCAGTTTTTGGGAGTACATGTAGTATTTGGGAGTATATGTAGTATTTGGGAGTATATGTAGTTTTTGGGAGTACATGTAGTATTTGGGAGTATATGTAGTATTTGGTAGTATATGTAGTATTTGGGAGTATATGTAGTTTTTGGGAGTATATGTAGTATATAAGATAAGATAAGATAAACCTTTATTACAGTAGTCTCACAGTGGAGAAATATCAGTGTCATCGTTGCACATTACAGCAGAGAAAGGAAATAAGAGCACTCAGATTGCACACATCAAAGTCTATTATTTAAGATAATAGACAATAAATTTAAGATAAAATAAAATAAAATAAGAAAATCTGGGCTACAATTGCACTTGGTTCGGAGTATTTACAGATGTCTATATTATACATTAGCAGCGGAAAATATGAGAATATGAGCAGAATAAGCATCAGAAATAATATCAACAGGTAAAGTGACTTGAATGGGAGAATTATCAGATGGATATGAATAATACAGTAAGATATCAACAGGTAAAGTGACGGTGGAAGGCAGAATTATCAGATATGAAATAATACAGTAGTACTGATAACAGTAAATATCAGATATGTAGTACTGTAGTTGTACTGATAACAGGTAAAGTGACTAGTGACAAAGTTACTAGTGAATTATCAGAAACACTTGTGCAGACTCAGCAGTTCCTGTTACACATTCTTGTTGTACAGTCTGACAGCAGCAGGAAGGAAAGACCTGCGGAACCTCTCCTTCACACATCGAGGGTGAATTAGTCTGTCACTGAAGCTGCTCTCCAGAGCAGAGAGAGTGTCCTGCAGGGGGTGACAGTCCTGGTCCAGCATAGATGTTAGTTTGCTCAGGACCCTCCTGTCCCCCACCTGCTGCACTGTGTCCAAGGAACAGCCCAGGACTGAGCTGGACGTCCTGATGACCTTGTCCAGCTTCTTCCTGTCCCTCTCTGTGATACTGCTGTTCCAGCAGACCACACCGTACAAGAGGCTGATGCCACCACAGAGTCATAGAAGGTCTTCAGGAGTGGCCCCTGCACTCCAAAAGACCTGAGCCTCCTCAGCAGGTAGAGGCGGCTCTGGCCCTTCTTGAAGAGGGCGTCTGTGTTATGAGTCCAGTCCAGTTTGTGGTTCAGATGAACACCCAGGTACTAGTAAGAGTCCACTCTCTCAATTCCCTTTCCCTGGATGTTCACTGGGGCTGGAGCGGCAGAGTGACGTCTACGGAAATCCACCACCATCTCCTTGGTCTTCCCCGCGTTGATGAGGAGGTGGTTCCGCTGACACCAGTCCACAAAGTCCTGTATAACTCCTCTGTACTCTGCGTCATCGTCCTCGGAGCTGAGTCCGATGATGGCAGAGTCGTCAGAGAACTTCTGTAGAACACAACCGTCCGTGTTGTGTCTGAAGTCCGCAGTGTAGAGGGTGAAGAGGAACGGTGCGAGGACTGTCCCCTGGTATATGGGAGTATATGTAGTTTTTGGGAGTACATGTAGTATTTGGGAGTATATGGGAGTATATGTAGTTTTTGGGAGTATATGTAGTTTTTGGGAGTACATGTAGTATTTGGGAGTATATGGGAGTATATGTAGTTTTTGGGAGTACATGTAGTTTTTGGGAGTACATGTAGTATTTGGGAGTATATGTAGTATTTGGGAGTACATGTAGTATTCGGGAGTACATGTAGTATTCGGGAGTATATGTAGTGTATTCTGAATATGTAATGCCATTACATATTCAGAATACTCTGAGTAACTGTTTTCCGTTAGGTACTGCTTTGAAGTCTAGTATTTAGAATACAGTTACACACTTTCATCACGTTTAAGGTTAAAAAAAGAAAAGATACTATTTTTTCTGGTTGTTAAAAAATAAACGACAAATTATCAAACAATTACTACTACTTATTTATTTAAAAATATATTGAGGTTGTGATTTTAAATATTTTGAAATTTACCTTTTGTAAATAAACAATACAAAAATGATAATTAAAAGTGTAAATAAAAGTTTTTGGAATACAGGTAGTACTTCTTCCAAAGTAACTAAATATATTTTAGGTCATGTATTCAGTATTCTGGAAGGGAATAGATTTTCAAAGTATTCTGCTCAACACTGTGTGATACTGATGCAAATATTAGAATAACATGTATGTCCTGTAACCTGGATCTCAAAGGTCCTTGAATTGTCTCTCCATCTCTAAGGACAACAAGTGTTTGAAATGTAGGAATAAAAAGTCGTCAATAACTCTGAGGCCTGTTTGTTCATAAGTGGAACATTGAACTTGTCGTTGAGCCTCTTTAAAGCGATCAACTAAAGTTAAACACTAAACGACCTTGAATTCGTACTAGATTAAAAAGAAATGTTTATGTGACCTAAATGATCGACTGTGCGCCTTTCCCTGTTACACTCTGGTGGTAACAATGCCTTCTGCTCTTCAAAATTGTGTGTTTCCATCATTTGCGACACCTTTGCGGAAAAACCTGCCGCTCGCCAATCCCTTAATTTCCTCCTATTTAAAACTCTGAACTTATTAACTCTCCTTCGAGGCGACCGTGTTGTTGCTTTGCCTCGGCGAGCGGAGAAACCAACCAGACAATGGGTGTGATTGAGGTGAGAAATAGATGGCATTATTGAATTTTAATCACATCTTTTTCGACAGCGAACACGACAATTACCTGGCTACAAGACGTAAGTGTGTGCGTGTGTGTGCGTCAGTGTGCGTTGTGTGTGCGCTCATGGGAAGGGGCAGGAGCGCGGAGCAGACGAGCGCCTCATCAAGTCCTCACAGCGGCTGAAAGAAGGTCGTAAGTGGCTATCAGCGCACCCAACCCTGTCTGGATGGATCCCTCCTGTCGCAGCCTGCCGAGCTCCTTCCATATGGAGAGGGGCCTAATTATCCCCCACCAATGACTGAATCAACATTTGATTATATTCTCCCCAAGGCTCCCTCTGAAAGCCCCTATTCAAAGGCCACTCTCATACATCGCGTCGCTCATAATCAAGAATGGCTCTGTTATTTGCTAATGATAAGTTTAATGTCTTTTTTATGATAACCCCTGACATGGATCAGTGGGATGCCTGACGGGTCTGTTTGATTTATACCCTCGTGTCTGCCGTTTTTTTAACACTAAAATTTTAACTCAACAAAGTAACTCAAATGTAAGTAAGTAATTTTTATACAGCGAGAGTGGCTCAGTTGGTAGAGCATTGGCATTTGAGCCCGAAGGTTGTGGGTTTGAGCCCACCAAGAGACCTTCTCCACAGACTCTCACTGATGTCTGCTGCAGTTGTGTCCTTGGGCAAGATATTTAACCCACTTTGCTTATAAGGAGAGCGGAAGTGATGTCCGCTGCTTGATGTGTATGTTTATGTATCAAACTGAAATTTCCCCATTGTGGGACGAATAAAGGACCTTCTTCTTCTTCTTCTTTCACAGATCAGAGTCAAAGCGGTTTACAATTGTGGGCAGTAGTCTCTCGCTCCACACAGAGATGGGAGCGGGGCCAGAACAGGAGGCACATGCCAGACCTATTGTACATGTTTTTAGTGGTAGGGGAAACCTACCCTAACACGGGAAGAACATGCAAACTCCACTCAGAAAGGCCCTGTTCCGACCGGGCTTCGAACCCGGGACCTTCTTGCTGAGAAGCGAGAGTGCTAACCACTCAGCCACCGTGCCGCCCATAACTGGAAGACATTATAAATGTGTCTCTTTGATGGAAATGTTCAATGTTTTATGTGGTCTCTCAGGATTTGAAATTAATCTTATTTTTTTTTACATTTTGTTTTTCCGTAGCCAAAGGAACTTGGCAGAGATCACGGAGCTGATTCACACTGCGTTCCTGGCGCATCGTGGGATTGTTAATCTCAAAGAGTGGACGGTCTCGGATGGGCCTCTCAAAGACATGGAGTTTGGGAATAAGATTGCTGTGCTGAGCGGGGACTTCCTGTTGGCTAATGCGTGCACCGGGTTGGCACAGCTCAACAATACCAAGGTAAAGGTCACAAACTTTATTATCTGGTTTCGCTAATTCAACATTTTTCTTTTGCGTTAATTTTTCAGTTTTGTATCTATTGGGCAGATTTTTCTCATCACAACAATCTCTGGATTACAGTTTGCTTGTTTTGTTTTTATTCAGAGCCACTGCAGGTACTGATAAATACAGTAGATATTCTTGCTGTGGTCTGTTTACTCATCAATGTCACAGAAAGTAATGTATAGTGGAAAAAAATGAATGGTTTATGGATGTAAAACCACCAGTCAGCGTGGCCACGAGTCACTTAGGTCTAGTCTTTTATAACAGATCCGTGAACCAGAATTCCCCAAGTGAACCAGACTTGGTCCAGTTAAAGTGAACCAGACTTGGTCCAGTTAAAGTGAACCAGACTTGGTCCAGTTAAAGTGAACCAGACTTGGTCCAGTTAAAGTGAACCAGACTTGGTCCAGGTAAAGTGAACCAGACTTGGTTCAGTTAAAGTGAACCAGACTTGGTCCAGTTAAAGTGAACCAGACTTGGTCCAGTTAAAGTGAACCAGACTTGGTCCAGTTAAAGTGAACCAGACTTGGTCCAGTTAAAGTGAACCTGACTTGGTCCAGTTAAAGTGAACCTGACTTGGTCCAGTTAAAGTGAACCTGACTTGGTCCAGTTAAAGTGAACCTGACTTGGTCCAGTTAAAGTGAACCAGACTTGGTCCAGTTAAAGTGAACCAGACTTGGTCCAGTTAAAGTGAACCAGACTTGGTCCAGTTAAAGTGAACCTGACTTGGTCCAGTTAAAGTGAACCAGACTTGGTCCAGTTAAAGTGAACCGGACCACACGTGTACTCACCCACAGAGACACTCTCAGTGCATGTGTGCTGCTTTGCCAGTGGCTAAAGGGGAGTCGCTGCATCAGGTCTTTGGGCATTTGATCATTCAGAAAATGGGAACAGAGGAGCCTCAGATAAAGTGTGGTCATGACTTGTGACAGGCTGAAGTGCTGGATGTCCTTCACGCTGTATTTGATGCGGAATGCGGTCAAGAGATGCCGCTGTCAGACACTCCCCGGGATTCCTTTTTATTGAGTTTTCACATTTGGGATGTGCGTTGTGGTGGTCTTGTAAGTGCACCACAGATCATATCAGCCACATCGAACGATAAGTCGCCGCTGACAGAAGCTGTCACCGGCCCGCTCTGTCACAGCCGGGGACGTGAGTGGATCAAAATAACCCTCACATCACCCGCCACCGACCAGACCCTGTCACCCCAAACTCACAGGCCTGTTTGTTTTGTTCCTCTCCCCCCCCCCCCCCCCCCCCCCCCACCACAAATGATAAGAAAATCAGTTCAATAGAAAATCTGAAAATGTGCATCTCTCTTAAGACATTTTTTTTCAGTAATGTTTCACAAAAAATATCTGTTCTTTACATGATGGCTGATGCTTAGTTGCCATTTTCAAGCACATTTACTTTTGCAATACAATTTACAATGTATAAAACAATATGTGTCAGATTTGTCACATGCAAAGTGAGATATATCAAACATTTATTTGGTAAAATGTTTTGTAAAACTCCAGTCAAAACATCTCAGAAAATTAGAATATTTTGAAGATGCATCGTAAGCCATAGACAGATAGACACTTTATTGATCGCCGTGGGAGTTTTGTCTGGCCACACAAACAAGACGAATAAATACATCATAAACAATTCTCAAAATATCCCAAATATATCAACATTATAACAGTCCAAGGCTTGGCGTGTATCAGACATGTTTGAGTCTATATCATATATGACTAAGTTTCACCTGTAATCAACCTTGCTCCTTACTTTGTGGTCTGTGCTTCACCCACTGCTCTGCCTCTTTATTGAACAAATATTGACAACTTTGTGAAAAAACCGGACTGAAATATCACTGTACGGGCCTGTATATAGTAAGAACTCCTCAGCCTGATCCATAGTAATCACTTCATACTGTACATCTCTTTTTCTTCTTAAAAACAGTAGGAGTGTTGGAGATTATGTGTCGTGGCCTTGAGAAGCAACCTATGCCGCTACTTGTATAAACTGTAAGCCAATCTGGCCGCCGAGCTCCGGTTTCTCCCCATCGCAGACCTGTCGGCAAAACACGATCTGGCTGGATTTGGGAATGGAGTAAGGAGGAGGCGGGGGGACGCTTATCTGATACCTTCCAAAAAAAGCCCCCCACCCCTATTGGCCTCCACTTCCCCGCGCAGGCAGAGACACCACATCTGGTAATACTGTAGGCACATTGTCCTTCCAGGTCTGTGGGCGAGGCTCCGGTTTCCTCAATGTTTTCCCTGGACAGGTTCGGTTTCCCAAAGGGCACACGGCGAGGCTGTCTGCATCACTACACACTTTTCTTTTTTTCAACTCAAACCAAGGATGTCAGGGATGAGCTGAAGGAGCTCTAAATTTATCCCCATTCATCTGAACTGTAGTGCCGGCTTTCTGTTGTGGCTATGAATACGGACGATGGCTGATTCAATTGAGATACCGGCCGCTCATTACCGTGGAACAATGCTTCAAATCTCTACACTCTTCAAGGAGCCGATATAGAGATGGTGTTATGTGCTCGCGTGAAAACGTAGCCGCGCATGCCCCCTGCGAGAAAAGCAAGGCAACTGCAGCTATGAGGGAAGAATACAGAAGCACTCACTATATCCGTTTTCTATACAAAACACAATGGGCTTTCTTTTTCATTTTCAAAGGCCTTATTGATCCGCAGTGCATTACAGTTGTAGCGGTCGTTTTACACAATTCCCATCTTGCGTTTCTGTTGATCAGATCTCAAATGTGCTTGGTGCAATAACAACAAATGGCGAGAGCTTAGAATCGAAGGGGATGCAGTGGATTGGACTCTTATTAAAGCTGGATTTCTTTACTTTTTTATGGCTTTAAATCAAAGTTTGTCTTTCTAAAACAGGCCTGTCACACTCATTTTGGTCTGGGGCCGAAAGAATAGAAGGGATTTCCTGTTGTTTACATTATGGAGGTAATTTGACGTGACTTTTATGTGATGAGTTTTACTGTTATTTTGGGTACATTTTAGAGTTAATTAAAACTGGACCAAATATAAAGTTAAACACATTGTTTTATATTAATTCTATGTGGTTGTTTTGATGAGAAAATAGATTATGTACAGTACCTTGCGAAAGTATTCGGTCCCCTTGAACCTTTCAACATTTCGCCACATTTCAGGCTTCAAACATAAAGATATAACATTTTAATTTTTTGTCATGAATCAACAACAAGTGGGACACAATCGTGAAGTGGAACAAAATTTATTGGATAATTTAAACTTTTTTAACAAATAAAAAACTGAAAAGTGGGGCGTGCAATATTATTCGGCCCCTTTACTTTCAGTGCAGCAAACTCAGTCCAGAAGTTCAGTGAAGATCTTTTGAATGATCCAATGTTGTCCTAAATGACTGATGATGATAAATAGAATGCACCTGTGTGTAATCAAGTCTCCGTATAAATGCACCTGCTCTTTGATAGTCTCAGGGTTCTGTTTAAAGCGCAGAGAGAACCATGAAGACAAAGGAACACACCAGGCAGGTCCGAGATACTGTTGTGGAGAA